TGCCTGTACCTTAAAAGGATGCTTCTGGTTCGATTTAGGGCCCACTTGATTGATCCAGAATGTTCTCCCCAATTCAAAGCCCTGAATAACATCTGCAAAAGCTTTGCCATGTAGGGTAACAATTACAGGTTCCATGAATTAGGATATGATATCTTTAGGGCCACTATTCATCTAATTAAAGGTGTTATAAGAATCAAATAGAGCAGTAAAACAGCTCTCAGACTGAGACGTGCCAAAATGCAACTTTTATTTCACAAAATGGAACTAATTTTGCACTCTGATTCTTCTGACCCTGCAAACAATTTAGGTTTCTGTTGTTTGCTCACTCAATAGACTTGTTGGGGTAAATAATTTAGATTCTATCAGTGAGTTGCATACAGGTCTAAAATGTTCTGAGGTGAACATTGAGACCCACCTTCACATCTCTGACGTTGTAGTGGGGCATGTAAGTCCCAAAGGAGGTACTTGTCTGATTGTTATCCAATTCTTTTTTGTTCTGGAAACTCTTGCTCCTTCCAAGGTTACTGCCTGAAGCATAAAGACCCTTATATTCATGGCCTTTTCTTAGTTCTCTGTGTTCCCTCCCCTCTGGGGCATTTGAGATGACCATGCTTTTTGATGAGACTTAACATTGACTCAGCAATTGCTTCTCGCTGTGCTAGATGCAGGGCTTCTTGAGGAGAGTTGTTTTGTTTTGTTCTGTGCTGGTGTACATTGAATCTACCAGGCTTCACATGTGCTAGGTAAAACCTCTACCACTGAGCTACATCCCCAGCCCTTTGAGAATATATTCTTTAGACTATGGTTTGAGCCACACCACATGTTTAAATATATTGGGCTTTTAACAACCAAAAATCGTTCTAGTGCTGGAAAGGGGCAGGATATAGAGTCACTTGGGACCAGCACCATACAGGTACTGTCTCTCTCTATTTTTTTTCTTTCACTCCATCCCCTGTCAATTCCTTTATTCTAGTTTCTTTCCCAGGAAGCAGAGGGTGCATCCCTGTAAGAGAAAACAGAGGATTGGCATTGCTCTGATTCTCCCTAAGCAGTTGCATTTGCCAAATATCAATAAAGTCTACTTTGAAGCTCAAAAACCAATAAATTTCCTCTTTGTCATTTTTTCCTTTCTTTAAAGTGTATGTTGAAGACAGAACATAGCTATTTCCTTGGTGGGAGAGAAATGGGTGCAAAGAAACAGGTATGCAAAGCAAACAAGCCAGCATGTTGATTCCTTCCTGGACATTCTCTCAGTGTAGTTGCAAGGATCATAGGTACAGTTTCCAACACTTACAGTACTTACTAGTGCATACCTGTGTTTCATAAACTTTAAAATCCCAGCAGGGTTTGTGTGAGAAATAGAGTCAAGTGGGGATTGGAAGATTGTTAAGGATGCAACTTCCCATCTGATGTCTTGTTAATAGATCCCTTCAGAGTGCTTATACCCAGAACCTGGTGTCTTCTTTAAGTACACTTTTTTCACTGTTATTTTATTTTCCAGCAAATTCTGTTGGCTCCATCTTCAAAATAGATCCAGAGTCTGCCTATTTTTTTGTTGTTATTTGTTTGGCTTTTACAAAATTGACTGTTGTTATGTTCATCTAAGCTGCACCCTCACTCTGGGTTCATTGAAGCAGCCTATGAAATAGACTTTGTTTTTCAACCCTTACAACTTTTAAAGTCACTTCTTCACTTAGTAGTGAGTATAATCCAGTTAAAACATTTCAGCTCAGGTTTTCCCTGAGTTCAGCATGATTTTCACGTAATTCAGAGGAAAAGCTGAGTCCTTACTAAGGTCTGCAGGGCCCGATACAGCCTCTCATCTCATCTCCATTATTTCTCTGGCCTCTCCTCCTGGTACTGTCCCATGTGCTTACTCAGCATTAGCCTCCTTGCCAAGCTACAGAAATACCAGCCTTGGTCTCATCTCAGTGGCTTTGTTCTTCTTCCTCTAAATATCCCCTGGGCTCATGCTCTCTTCTCCTTGGGTCTTGTTTAAAGACTCCCTTCTCAATAAGCCCTTCTGTGGCGAGCTATTGGGAATGGATTCCTTTCACCATTTTCTAGTTAGCACTAGCACTTTCTTTCTTCCATGCTCCATTTTTCTCTGTTGAGTTTATTGCCACATTTTAAGATTTACCTTTTATTTATCATCAGTTTCTTCCCCAAAGCCTCATGAAGGCAGTTATTTCTTACTGACTTATCCACTACAAAAATCTCAGCTCTAAGAGGAGTTCCTGATAAATTGCAGGCCTTTAGTAAATCTTTGTTCATTGAATGGATGAATAACTTACAGTTGCCAAACTACATTGGTTTATCTTGTAACAAGTAGAAGTAGACAAATTTTTTAAGCAGGATTCACATTGAGACAACTATCTTGGGAGACAGGAAGTTGCTGTGATAACAGTGTTCAGGTTGGATTGGAAGAAATTTGGAGATAAGAGGCTTTTCAAGAAAAAACTGAAGGTCCAACAATAGCAGTGATGGTGGAAAAGCTTGAGTGTGTGTGTGTGTGTGTGTGTGTGTGTATGTGTGTGTGTAGGAGTTGTTGGTTATGAGTGACACTTGGAGTAAGAACACGTGGTAGCTGGTGATATCAGGAGTAAAGGATATTGGAGAGGAGGTTGAGAAAAATGAAAGTGTGACTTAATTCTACATTTCTTTGAGAGAATGTGGTAAAATAACACTTATCATAGTGGAGAAAAATCTAAGACATAAAAAGAAAGATGAATTTATTTTGCTTTAAGGTTTTTTTTAAAAAATTATGGAATGTGTATCACATAAAATTTACCATTTTAACTATTTTTAAATGTGCAGTTCAGCAGCATTAAATTCATTTATGTTGTCATGCAATGATCACCACTATTTATCTTTAGAACATTTTATCTTCCCATAATGAAACACTATACCAAGTCAACAATAACTCCTTGCCCCCCTCACCCCCAGTTCCTGGCAACTTCCATTCTACTTTCTGTCTCTGTGACTTTGGCTATTCTAGGTGTCTTGTATAAATGGTAGCATTACAGTATTTGACCTTTTCTGATTGTAGTTTTTCACTTATCATAGTAACTTTGAGGTTCATCCATGGTGTAGCATATGTCAGAACTTCACCCCTTTTTTTAAAGTGACTATTCCATTGTGTTTATGTATTGGTCCCTTGATGAACATTGGGTTGCTTTAGCCTTTTGGCTCTTATGGATTGTGCTTCTATGAACATTGTTGTATGAATATCTTTAAATCTGCTTTGACTTCTTTGGGTTACTCACCCAGGACTGGAATTGGTGAATCATATGGTAATTCCATGTTTACTATTTTGAAGAACCACCATACTGACTTTCATTTCAGGTGAACTGTGTTTGAGTTGGTGGAGAGTGTCAGAAGGTAGGACTGGACCTTGGCTGAAGGTACTTCTAGGCAGAGATTCCAGTTGAAGGAACCTCCCAGATGTGATGAAAAAGGGGAGGTGGTGAATTAGTTTGAGGAAGGACAAAGGAAGGTATTGAGTGAAGGACCAAGTCAAGTCATAGGAAAGAGAAGCAGTGAAGGGAGCCAGTCAATGAGACAGAAAAGGAGCAATCAGAATTAAGAACAGAACCAAGAGTGCTGATATACACTTAACTCAAACTCATCCATATTCATTGAGTACTCTGTCAAGAACTTCTTTTCAGAAGAATAAGCTTCTATTTAAGGATGTCATTACTTTCAAGGGTTCAGGTCCAGTAGGTCACAGATCACTACTGTGTGTTGAATTTCTGAGGCATAGATACTTTTCAAAAAAGTCCTAGAAATACTAAAAAAGCAGAGAATCTCTTATTCTTTTGTTGGCTGTTCTCCGTTTCCTCTTTTGCATTAATAATTTTACAGTTACTTTTTCCCCCAATGATTTATGGAATTATGACACACTTTAGGAAAAGTGAGCAAGCCAACATGGATAACTCTGTGACTTCTCAGAGAGTGCCATGTAGCTAGGTAATCAACACCCAGATCAAGAAACACAGCACTGACCTTACCCAAGTGGTTCCCTGCATGCCTCATTTATACAGTATCAACATTGTTCGAATTTCTGGCACCATAGCATAATTTTTTCTGTTTTGAATCTATGTAAGTGGAATCATGCAGCATGTACTATCTGGGCCTGACTTCTTTCACTTAATGTTTCTGAAATTAATCGACGTTTCTGGGAATGCTTTTATACAAGTTATTTATTTTCACGTCATATTCATATGCAAGTATCCAGACTTTTGGGTAACTTCCAGTTTGAGGCTATTATAAATAATAGTATATGAACATCATTACAGTTTCTTATTGAAATAGGAATTTGGTATTATGTTTTACCTATTTAAATTGCCATTGCTTCAATCATTCAAGTGTCTTTTCTACCCAGTGCTTTCCCCCCTTACCTAATTATCTTTATTGTTAATACAAGTTGTATTTTCCTTAATATTAGTTTTGAAAGTACAAAGTACCATAAGGAATTGAGGTTCTTTAAAAAATCTGTATTTACTTTCATTAACATTTTCTTTTTAAAGGATCTATTTTAATTTTTTTTCTCATCTACCCAGATTATGCCTCTTAAATGTGTGTTGAATCTGTCAAAATTCTTCATCCCTTAATGAGGTGAATTGTTCAACCCTGAAACAAATATTTTAATTTTGGCACCATGATGAGTTGGAGGAAGAATAGCTCTTGTTCTTAATGCAGATTTGTTATTAAATTTATATCATAATTTGCATAGCAATAAAAGGAAATTGAGAATTAGCAAAATGTACATTGTGATATGTAATTTTTCTTTTCAGATGACTGCTTTGGTATAAAAATTGAATTACTAATTCAAAATTGATGAGAAACTTTTATCAATCTGGATACTTAGGAATTGATTTGAAATTTTCTATGCATATGAGACATGTATACAAAATCTATTCTAAACATTTGTACAGTTATTTGTGTGTGTGTGTGTGTCTGTTTATCTGTTAACATATTCACTGAAGCATTCTTCACAGAAAGAACACTAGAAGACCATGAGCTGGTGATTGAAGTGCAGTCTAACTGGGGAATGGAAGAAGAAAATAAGCTGCACTTTAGAAAAAATTATGCCAAATATGAATTCTTTAAAAACCCAATGGTAAGTGAAATCTCCATTAACAGTCAATGAAAATTAAATGAATCAGTTAAATTTTACTTGAAGAATATGGTCACTATCAATAAAACACAGTTCCATTTAGTGATTCTGGCCCTTTAAAATTATACTCACATTTCTTATTCTAACAATGATTAGTCACTATGATACAAGAAGTTCAGACACATGTAAAACATTTCTTTAGCCTTACTTTCAGAATCTCAATTGAGATGCATTTAGTCATTTAACTTAAAAATATAGGTAAACCTACTTTGGAGGCATTATTGCTTTTTTTTCTTGCCTTAGAGGAAAACTAGACAAAGCAATTGTACATTTGACTTTGAGATAAATTATTATAGGTCCTCAAATGTATTCCAAAATGTAGTTTAAGTTTTTTTCACAATATTTAGGAAACTTAAGTAAGAAACTTTCTAAAACAAAAATAGATTGGTAATCATTGGGAATGTGTAGCTTAGCCAGAAATTTAAGATTGACATGAATCTTGATGCTTCAAATTATTTTGTTTTTAGTGAAATAATTTTTGACCTAAATAGAAATGAGATAAAGAATAGCATATTATCTAGCAAATACTACTTTCATTATAATTCTCTTTAAAAGAAATTAAATGTATGTCACATTCTAATGAAGACTAGGGATCTAGAGAAGTTAGAATAGCCTCTGGGATCATTATTTTAAATTGTTTTTGTCTCTGCAGCAGTAGCATATTTTACACTAAGTTTTGGATAATTGGATTGAAATGATCCTTTATGAAAAATATATGATACACATCATAATAGAATATTTTCAAACCCTGAGAGACCTCTTACATTCTCTTTTATTTTAACCTATTAATAGAAACATAATGGGATGATCTTTGACAAAGAAAATAAGAGTTCTAGTAAAAGTTAAATAGATTTGAAGGGAAAGTGTTTTCTTGTTACAAATCTTTATTAAAAGCTAGAATTTAAAAGTTGTATTTAAAGAAATATGGTTTGGTGCTCATTTCTGTTTTATTATTATTATTATTGTTATTTGTAATTTAAATAAGACGAGACATTCACTTTGTATAGTTGGAGCCAATGGTTCAACTGGGTGATCTGACAATATCTGGATACAGTTTTGGTTGTAGGACTGTGGGGGTGGGGTGGGGGTCAGCAGGAGCAGTGCCAAAGTGGGCAAAGTTAGAATTCTGCTAAACATCCTCTAAGGCTCAGGACAGCCCCACAACATAGGACTATTAGACAAAATGTTAGTAGAACTGCTGTTGAAAAACCCTGTCCTAGAGGAAATATAGTAGAATATATTTTTCCAAACTTGTCTGATCATAAAATTTACCTAAGGGAGTCCCAGTATTTATTAAAAACACAGACTCCAAGACCTGGCCAGACCTACTAAATCAGAAACTCCAGGAATGAGGTCTGGGAAATTCTATTTTAAACAACTGCCGTGGGTGAATTTTATGATTAAACAAGTTTGGAAAAACAGTAGGTGGAAAGAATTGGACTTTTACTTCCCACACTGAGTCCTGGTTTCTCTATGTTCTTGACTGTGAACCTGGGTGCAGCCTTTGCCCTTGATTTCTGTGAGCCTTGATTTTGTAAAATGGGTTAGTAGTCTTTTCATACCTGGTAGAGTAGTTGGAGGATTTGGGGAAGAGATGTGGGAACAAACTCATTGTCAACTTGAGGGCAGTGTCCTATGACTCCAGGTCAGAGCATCTCTCTGCATCATTGTCATCTGGGCCCAACTCTACCTGGGAAGATGCCTGAGGGTACAGTCCAAGGACCAGCATTTTCAGAAGCACTTAATGTGGATTTTAGATACATTGGCTTAAGGATCTTCTGCTTTAGATTTCTATACTGGTCATGATTCAAACTTTTCTAGCATGGGTTTAGCGATAATTTAACCTTTATTTTTTGTCAGTATTTTTTTTTCCAGAGCATATGGTGTCTTTTGCAACTGAAACCAACAGTGAAATATCCCCAACACAAATTTTACAGGTAAATATATATTTCCATTAAAATATGTAAGAAATCACATAATAATGGGAAAAAATAGGTCCTTATTAGGCATGCTCATATTTTGACATGTTGACTTGAATGTTTAATTTTTTTTGGGGGGGGGCAAAAAGCTAACCAACCAACCAAACAAACAAACAAAGAACCAACCAAACAAAAAGCTGGGTAAAGAATGCCCTAAATCAATACATCCCCCTAAAAATATTTTTCTTCCCAGTTCTGGCCAGGTGTCAAAGGATTTTAAACATTTCAAAATGTATGCTATGGAAGGAAACTTTAGAGTTTTGCTTTGTGATGTGTATATAGGTTATGTTATTCTTTTAAAAAATCAAAATTATCAGTAAATTGAAGACATTTTATCAATAGATACATAGTATTGGCATTCATAATAAACACCTTCAATTCTATTTGTGATAAAATACTTAGCAATTAAATGAATGGAGGGATATTCAGATATACTTGTTTCATATACTAACATCTGTAATAGCTTTGACAGAAATACTGGCATAGAATTGTAAGATATTCTTAGCTGAATCATGAATGCTGGTTATCTAATTAAAAATCTCCTTACTTTTGTGTCTGTTAGATTCATTTCTTCCAAACTAGCAGTTATTTGGGGGGGGGGCATTTTCCTAAGATATTGTCATTACAATAAATGAACAGTTTATTTTAATTTTGATAGATTAGTAGATTTGGTATCAGAAGCTCTGCGGTTGTTTTTTCACAGGTTAATGTTGAGCTATGTCTTCATGAGGATTGAAGCTAAGCTCTAGGCATTCCTGAACTCACTCAGTATTCTCTGGTATTTCACAAAGATAACTTTTAATATTTCCAATACAATATGATTTTAATATATTAGTCAGGCATATCTACCATAGATTTGTTTCCTGTGGGCTTTTAAATATGGGCATGCTTTATTTTCATACTTCAGAATATTTTAGAAATATGATTAATCCCCAGATGTTTTTCTGAAGGCTGCTTCTATGCCGCTGGGTTTCACAGAGCCCCCTGCCCCCCACATCTGAATGTTAGGGTAAATGACAACCTCAGGACTCCCAACTCTCAGCTCCCTGTAGGCTTCACCATTGTATTGTGACTCAGTGGTGGGGTGGAGGTTTTCTTCTATCTCCTTTCCCAAATCCTCCTCTAACATAGTTATATTGCTTTAATGCTAAATTATAAAAACAAGAAAAATTGTAGGCTTTGGAATTAGATAGTCCTTCATGTGCCCCTGACCTCTTCTCTCCACTGAGGCAATGTTTCCAGTTTTTAAAAGGTTTCTTCTTTTTCTGGTTTGACCTCCATGCCTCTCTTTTTAAAATTTAAATGGTTTGGTTTAATAACTTGGAAAGCACTCAAACTAAAAAACCTACTTACCTGTTTTACATGTCAATTAATTAATATCTGTGGCTCATTTAATTAAAAAAATAGTAAATTACCTTAAAAAATGTAAATATGTACTATTGGCATTTCCCTGAATAGTTTTTAAAAATAAAGTAATTCCTCTTACTTTCAGCTCTTCCATTTGTTTATTCATAGGGATTTCTATTTTCTTCTTTTAATGAGACACTAATGCACTTCCAGTGTCTTATTAAGGACACTGAGCATGGCCATGCACACAGAGTGACTCCCTTCCATTCTCCTTTCGCTGATCAATGTGTGCCCCCATCTCAGTTAATTACTACTGTATAATACAGTCTTCCAAACCTTAATGGTTTGGAAGATCCACCTGCATTTTGCCAACCATTTTGAGGGGCAGGGATTTAAGAAGAGTTTGCTTCATCTCTGAAGCACTTTGACTCAGTGGTTAGAGAAGATTCAAGGTCCCCTTCTAAGCTGTCCCTTTTACCACACATGCTGTGACACTCAACTCCTGTCCTCTCTTTCTCCTTCTGTGTGGCGTTTTGTCCTCCAGAGCTTTTCCAGTTTCACTGGGCTTCTCACCCATGGGGGTTTCCAGATCATCACATTTCCTGTGTGGAATCTGACTTGCAGAAGTCAAGTTGGTTTGAAAGCCATCAGTCTAGGACATATCTAGAACTGGCAAAGGGTTACTTCTACAATTTTATTTTGGTCCAAGCAGTGACAGGCTTACACTGATTCAGGGTGGATGGAGAAACAAACTCTGCCTTTTCATGGTTTAAAGCCAAGATGCAATTGCAGAAGGACATGTGGGATGGGAAATATGGTTGCAGTCCTCTTTGGAAAAAACCCAGCCTGCCATACTGCCCAATGACAGAACTATGGAAGATAAGAGGTTGTATATTCTCATCAGTAAAGTGAAGTTGGCTCAACTTCTTGTCTTTAATAATTGAAGTCAGGATTGTGGTATTCTATGGTATAACACAAGGAAATCAATAGGTAAACCTGTCAACTCACACACAAAAACATGGGAAAGGATGAGAAGTATAGGACTTCACCCTATAGATGATATCCAGCTTTACAAATAGACAATCAACTAGTTTATAATTTTGATGTTTGATATTGATATTGATATTGTTTAGTTTTTCATACTTACATTTGATTGGTTGGTAAAAGGCTACAAAATCATTGTTTCCATAATATTAGGGGAGAGTCTAATTTTTCTTCCAGATGTTTCTAAGTTCAAGCACATATCCTGAAATCCATGGCTTCTTACATGCAGAAGAACAGGGAAAGAAGTCCTGGAAAAAAATTTACGTCCTTCTAAGAAGATCTGGTTTATATTTTTCTACTAAAGGAACATCAAAGGTAAATTAAGTATCTGAGTTATGTTATGTAAGATTATTAGCTGTAAATTAAAACAGACTTTTTACTTTGTTATATTTATGATTTTATTACCTGATATCAGGAGGTGGTGACATTTTTTGTATTCTAAAGATTTATCAAGATATGTTTAAAAAGTGTTCAGTTTTATTTCAAACCAGTTTCTATATATCTTTGAGGATATCTGGATGCTCTTATTTCTGTACCACATATGTTGTTCATTTTTCCCCACCCCAAGTTTACTCCTTTCTCTTTATCCAAGGCTGAAGGTTTTGAGGTCCAACATATATTATACCTTTAATTTTCTCCCTGCACCCCCACCGTTTTTTCTTTCTTTTTAGTACTAAAGGTTGGGTATTCAATGTTTAGTACCACTGAGCTACATCCACAATCAGTTTCATATTTTTTGTGGGGGATAGGGTCTTGCTAAGTTCTTAGGGTCTTGCTAAGTTGTTGAAGATGGTCTTGAATTTGGGATTTTCCTGCCTCAGCCTCCCAAATTGCTGGGATTCCAGGAGTGTGCCACTGTGCCCAGCTACAACTTTTCCACATATCCCAGTCATAAGACTGGTCTTGCTCACTTCTGACCTTCTCTTCATCAACATCAACAGAACAGTTAGTAACACCCATCTGAGTCCTTTATTACTATTTAGTTATTTTGTGTGTGCTGTTGTCTTTCCTTACATAGATGATAAATTCCTAGAAGAATTTATGATGCTATGATCAGGGAATAATGGATGTGTTTGTTTGTTGGTATGTTGGACCTACACACACCATTACATAGATATACATGTGGAGATAGTCACACCCGCACATATGGTCTCTTAGACATGTGTATATTCCATAGCTTTTAGCACTGTCTATTCTATGTTTCTATGTATAGTCTATGACCCCTAATATTCTGTGGTTTATAAGTGTTGATATTTTGTGCAATCCATTGAGATTTTTCAAGTAATATTCCTTTGAAGATTTTCATAAGAAGGTATTTTAATTTTGTATTCATGAATTTGTTATTGTCAGTGACAATACTGTTCCTTCTTTATGGATGAACTGTCATTTCTCTGAAATGATTATTCTTATAATTATTTGTGTTTGGCAATTTCCCCTGTTGTATTTCTAGGTCTGTTGAAATAAGTCTGTTAAATCTTGCCTGATTGTCTGCATACACATGCAATCTGCAAACTCATATTCTTCTTTTGTGCTGGAGATGTTCATTTATTGTTTACTTGACAATTTTTCCCCATTCTCATCATTTGACCTTTTAAATTCTTAGTCTTGGCCAGTTGTAACTCCAGGTATACCTTGGCTTGTGGCTAACTCTAATCTCTGCCTTTGTCTTTACTTGGCCTTCTCTTTAACTTTTTGTATCTCTTATAAGGATACTAGTTATGTTTAAAGCCCACCTGAATCATCTATAATGATCTTATCTCGAGATCCTTATCTTAACCACATCTCCAAAGACTATTTATTTTTTATTTTTTCCCCAAATAAGGTCCCATTCAAAGTTTCCAGGGTTAGGATATGGACATTTCTTTTGGGGCAGGAGAGCCACCATTCAACCCACCACAGAAAGCCATTGAAATAGCATTAACAAGGGAGAGAAATGATCAAATGAGTATCTTAAGAAGATTAAGATAGTCACAGAGAGGAGTTTAAGATATCAAGAAGAGAAAGTGATAGAGGGAGAGAAAAAAACAGGGGTCAGAAATAGGGGAGGCAATGAGGAAGTATTGGAGGAAAGAGGGAGAGAGAAATTGACCAGAGGTATGGATACTAATTAGAAGATCATTTCAGTAATCCAGAGTGGAGGTGGTGGAATCTGACCTGGAATGGACAGCATTGGGGAGAAGAGAGGAATGGCTACCATATTAAATGGCACATGGCCAGGCTGATATAAAAGAAGAGGAAGCAGTTAATAATGTTCCTAGAGAAATATTCCTGGAGAAAGAGATAAAGAAAGGAATAAAATCAATTAAAAATCATTAGAAGTCACTCTCTAAGAAACAGTAATCTTAGTTCTAGAAGGATGAAGCCATTATTCTCTGATTATCTTTTCTTGGGCATTTTAAACTAGTTTACAAATTTTTACATCATAATGTTAGGATGAATAACTGTCTACTTTTATTATTAAGGTTTTAAGCTCCATCTTAACCATTTCAATGAGGTTGCTCTTTTCCTAAATGTTTCTAATATATACAGTAACATAACAGGTATATTTTAAACAAATGTGTGCTGGGATTGACATTTTACTTTTAACTTATGAGAAAAAAATGGCTTCTAGAGCTGGACCTGTAGCTCAGGGGAAGAGCACTTGCTCAATATGCATGAGGCACTGGGTTCAATCTTCAGTATTGCAAAAGAGGAAGAAGGGGAGACTGACAGAAATGGCTTCTCAATCCAGTCAATCATGTTTATCTCATTCTTACCCCAGTGATTCTTGACTGGAAGATGTGATAATGTCTCTTTAATTCCTATATTCTTACTTCTTCAACAGGTCTCTCATTAAAACCCACAGCCCATTTTATTTTCACTTTACTCTTCATTTCCTTTCCCTCCCACTCATTTATTATATAACAGAACAGGCCGTATTCCTTCTACAAAATTCAGGGTCTGACTTTGCTATCCATCAGTGCATAATATTCTTTTAAGTAGCTCATGTTTCAGTCGATATATGGAAATGACGTTATGTTCTCTGCCAAAGGAAAAATGTGAGGATGTTAGATCTCTTCAGTGATTGTGATACAAAATGTGTAGATTATCTAAAGTCAAATATAACATTTTTACCTGGCATGGAGGGGGCTGTGTCCTGTCCTTCTCGAGGAGGAGGTTTGATTGATTTCACTTTGTAAAGATGTAACAGCTGTTTGGGAGTTAATAACCTCTACTGTAAGTGTTGGAGATGTGTCTGTAACTTAGATTTGCAGAGAAATCTCTACCTATCTTTCCATCTCTTCCCTTATACCCTCACATACATGTTTAGGTACTGCTAACCATGCCAACCCAGGCTTGTAGTGTTATGCCTTAAACAGAAGAACAAAAATTGGTCAAGACAAAAGACTCATCATGCTTCTTACTGCCTTCCAGTGTTTCTCAAGCTTTGTTTTCCTTTCATTTGAATGATTGAGTTATATTGACTTCTACAGCATCACTGGACAGAGATGGTTTTATCCCATGTTCATATAAATCAGACATTTTATTATCAAATCAGTGTCTATCGAGGAATACTTTTTTTAAAAAAACATAACAGTAAGAGTATATTTTTCCTTCCTTCCCCATTTTTCCATTGGCCCTATGCTAGATCTTTGTTATTTTCTTTTCTGCCTTATTCATCAATGGTCTTAAGAACTATGGTCATTCATTAGATTAAAATGCTTAAGAACAGAGACATACAGATAAATTTTTGCTCTACTAGTTGTCATAGTTGTGAAAGCCTATTTATAAATTACAATGACATTTCTTTGTTTTTGGATAAGGTTGCTAATATTGCTGAATATTTTCTCTCTCATTCTGTGTGTGTGTGTGTGGGCATGCCCACACACACACTGCTACTAAAATTTAGTGCATATGGGATCAGTGAGATCTTGTTAAAATGCAGATATTGATTCACTAGGTCTGGGGTGGGGCCTGGTAATTTGCATTTTCAAAAAGATCCTAGAGGATAAAGATTTTCCTGGTCTGAGACTATACTGCTAATGGCAAAGTTTTAGAGAACAGATGCATTTTGTCCAAGTTTGATTATACATTGAACCTGAGAATTAAGTACTTCTCCAAGTTATTAACCTATCACAGAATAATATGACCCAGTGATTTCCCATGACCAGCTCTAACTCTCAGAGATTTCCCAGAGAAGAAATAGCTGTTCATGTTTCCACTTTGCCTTGAAAATCAGACACAGTCCACTGCCAGATAATTTCCCTGAGCTCAGCCATATGAGCTTCCTTCTTGTAAAGCAAGATAGTCACACAACCCTTCTGGTTGTTTCCTGCGGTGTATTACATAGTACACAACTATGAGGTGTGGTTGTAGTCTAATGAAGCAGGACACATGGTCCCCTTTACCTTTTTCCTAACTGCTACAGAAGCTCAAACCAACTTCTTCCCTTTATGGAGATACCATAATTTGAAACCTGGATTAGGAAAACGTGTTCAAAAGTCATTGTTTCCTATCTTCTCTCTCTGAATCCTGGAAATGATGAATAAAGAGAATAGAGAGTTTAAAATAGAATGTGTGTGTGTGTGTGTATGCCCGCACATATGCGTGTGTTACATTATAAAGAAATTGTCACGTCAATTTTAATAAAACTGTATCAAGTTCCTGATTATTTAAGGGTGTAGTGACATAGGTTTTTTTAAAAAAATTTCTTTTCTTTTTGTCATATTGAAATTGTATTTAGGTAATGTTTGCCCAAGGAATACATTATGTAATATTATAAACATACAAAAAGAAATATTGCAAAACATGTACCCATTTCAACACTCCTATGTATTTTTTAAGGAACCATGGCATTTACAGTTTTTCAGCGAATTTGGCACTAGTGATATTTATGTGTCACTGGCGGGCAAAAAAAAAAAAAAAAAACACGGAGCACAAACTAACTATGGATTCTGCTTTAAGGTGCAGGCTTAATATTTTGATAGATCAATAAAGCAAGCCTCAGCCTTTTAGGTAAGCTTGAGTTTCTTTTAATTTCTTTTAATAAAGAGACAGCTTTCTCTTATATATAGGAGAATTTTAGTGACTTTTATTTCAACACGTGTTACCTTCAAGATATGCATTAACGATAAACAATGTGCTGTGACCCTTTTAGCCTAACAAAGCAGGAGGGCCCCGAGACCTGAAAATGCTCTCTACAGAAGAGCAGAGTAGGACGTGCTGGGTGACCATGATTAGATTGCTTAAGGTAATCTCACTGGAGGCATGAATTTCTATTAAATTCTGTGAGTACCATAAAAGTTTGAAAATATCTGTAGTTGAAAATGCAAAGAAGAGTGAATCCTAATATGAATCTTTGTAGCTACATGAGAAAGAAGAAAAATGGCCACCACCAGATGCATGTATTTTTTAATCTAAAAGATAAACATTTGCAGAGTAAAGTGGAATGGGCTAATACTTTATCTTTTGTTTAATACTTTATCTTTTGTTTATGAAGTAATATTCCGTTTCTGGAAATTCTCTGATTTTTATTTTTTATTTTTGCAAGAGTATTATATCCATAGCCAGTATAACTGAATGGATGTCTCTCATATACAACTTAGTCTATGTTTATACAACATTGCTTACAATTCAGTGTGAAGTGTGTTTAAAATGTGTCTGCCTGGATATGTTTCATGCGATTGTTTTATGTTCCATTTAGGTGTTTTATAAATTACATTCTAGCTTAAGAATTACAACTTACTTCTAGTAGAGCATCAAAAAAATTGTATGATTTTCCTATGAGCATATTTTTAAATCATCCACTTGGGTGTTAAATGGAAATTACAACTTCCATTATCATAATTTGTTGATGAGCATTTGGAAATGAATAAGAACCTTCTAAAGGCAGATACATGTAGAAAAGAGATATAGAACTGATTTCTTTCAGAATGTATTGAAAGCACATGTTTATTTAATTTATTTTGAAACTTACATGCCAGTAAATTTACACAACTTTACAGTTATAAAAGTAATCACTCATTTCCTTATAAAGACACTACTTTGATAATCACAATTGGGGTAAAAATCATGAATTTTTTTTGTTTGTTTTTGAAAAAGTAAAATACAAAGAGTATGTCTGTGCACTTTATTTAGTATCATTTACTGCCAAAGTTGACAAAATATACAAATTACTATTTTTCTTAATCCTTTGTTTAAATTAGAAGTTTCAGCATTTACCCAGATATTCTTTATAATTTATGCCTGATCACTAATAAAATTTGTTAACTTATAGATTTCATATTCTATGCATAGCATACATGATTCACTTATTACCACATAAAGATTTAGATTATTAACAGTGAGTGTGTCCTAAAACTAGCTTTTTGATATATTTAGAAGTTAACATCAGAGAAATGGAGTCTTGTAGAATCCCTGGGTTCTGCCCTTTCCTTAGGCTGAAGAGTGTACACTTCACTTCATAATGAAGTTCTCAGCTTATGTATTTTCTAGGTCCACTTTGGACCTAGAAGTTTTTCTGCTGCCATTTCCATATTTGCCACTTGGTAGCTCTTCAAAATATTACTAGCATCCTGGGTAAGAGAGACATCAGGGTAAAGAAGGATAGAACAATCATAATCAGATAAGTGATCAGACTAGCTTTGGAGGAAATTTTTATTTTTTATTTTTTTAAAAAAAATTTAAGTTGAGGTAAAATTCTGATATTAAAAATTAATCAAACTATTTTTAATGTGAACATTTCAATGACATTTAGTGCATTCAAATTGTGCAGCCATCACTTCCATCTAATTCCAAAACATTTTCATCACCACAAAATGTACCCATTAAGCAGTATCTCAGAGAATCTCAGGTGCCATTGATTTTACAAGGATACACTTTGTGATATTACAAAAAATAAAAAAAAAATTGATGCCAATATAATTATGACAGGTGACTTTCACATCACTTTTGCCTTTTGTTTTACTTTTATTAAAATAGTTATTATAGACTTTAGACTTAGCAAGAAATTTGCCATATTTCACTTTTGCATGCACAGACTTACTTATATATACATGTACATATGTCTATATAATTGATATATGTATGTGTATATGTATATATGAAATTATAAATGAAATAAATTAGTCAAGATATCTGTAAAACTTCTTCCTGTTCCAAATCTGGCTTTCCTGAATCATTTTCATCTCAGAGTCATGGATACCTGTTACTTTCCACATAATGTCTGGCTTTGTGCCATCTTTGAAGAGACAAATGTTGTATTTTGAAATGCACGTGCAAGAATCAATGAAATATGCCAAAAATTTCCTTTAATTCTTCCATCTTGGCGATGCTTAGTTTCTGGAAGATTGTTCCCTTCTTGCTTTTTCCTCTCATCTGATTATTCTCAAAGCCCCTTTCAAGTCAGATTTCCAGTTCAAAGATGGTTCATTGTGTTAGATTTTTATAGCTGGTGTAGTAAATTACCCCCAATTTAGAGACTTAAAATAACACAAACTTATTATCCTATATTCTTTTTTTTCTTTTTCTTTTTTATTTTTGACAGTATTGGGAATGAACTTGGCAATCTACCACTAAGCTATACCCCCACATTTTTATGTTTTATTTTGGTCAAGCGTTTTGCTAAGTTGCTCAGGCTGGCCTCAAACTTGTGATCCTCCTGTCTCAGCCTTCCTAGTTACTGGGATTGTAGGCATGTGACAGTCCTCCCAGCTATCCTGTTCTCTTTTAGTTCAAGTCCAGAATGAGTCTTACTGGGTCACAGTCAAGGCTTGGCAGGGCTGCTTGCCCTTTGGAGTCTTCAGGGGAGAAACCACTTCCCTTGTCCTTTCCAGCCTTGTGAGGCCACACATATACCTTGGCTGGTGGCTATTCCTCCACTTTCAAAGACAGTAGTATCACACCAAGTCCTTCTCTTGCTACCAACTTTCTAGCTCTGTCCCTTCTGCCTTTCCCTTCCACTTATAAGCTCCTGGTGATTGCATAGGGTGCACGTGGAGAAGCCAGGATAATCCTTATCCCACAGTCAGCTGGCTAGCAACCTCAGTTTCGTTTTGCCATGTAGCCTAACATATTCACAGGTCCCAGGGATTAGGATGTGGACATCTTTCTGAGATGGTTATTCTACCTATCATATCAGTGTTCCCTGTTTATTTCAATGACAAAACTTTTCCAGATGATGCCATAAAAGGAGGCGAACATCCAGGAGTACCTTTAACCTGTAGCCAATGAGAAACCAGACATGAAAGTGACACAGTCTCTCTTACATTTGAATATTAACAGATCCGGCCTCTCTTTGGAGAAATTCTAGTTACATATAGAATTGTAGAACATCAAAGACTTAGAAAAGTGGATTGCTCACATAGAATGTCCCAGTTACATATTCTCTCTTTCTCTACCTTCAGTTAGAAATCTGACAGCTTCTCTGTTGTGGTATTTCATTCTTTTATCTGCCCCTCCATAGGACAGAGAAATGTTAAAGTTGGCCCATGACTACCCTTGACAAGAGTTAAATGCCTACTAAAGGTCTTCAATGGCACCTAGGTACCTACCTAACACTGCAGGTGTCAGGAACAATACATCTAGGAAGATAACCATCTTATTAGTAGGTAGCAGGTTTTTCAATGAAGAAGGTGGCCAATCCTCATGTTCCTTGTGAAAGTGTTGGTTTGAGGTTATTATCTATACTTCATAATGAACTTGACTAGGAATTAAGCTCTTCTGTCTTCTTTTTAAAGTTATTGTAGGGTTAGAGTTGATTTAAAGTGACTTTCATTAGGTCCCATTAATGTCCTTCAAACCTTGAATTAAATAATTTTTAAAAGTTTGGAAATAATTGGATAAAGAAGTCAGCACACAGAATTTTAAATGAGTGTGGGTTTGTATTCATGTTAGAAGCAAAATCTTTAAATAATGATTCTCTTAATCCTCTCCCCCCAATTTTTTTTGTTTGTTTGCCTAATTACCAAATATATCCACTTTGCTAGAATTGGTTTCAAGGAACTAGTAGAGAAATAGCACTGTTGAACTATTTATATAAAATTTATCGTATGGGTAAGATTTGATTTCATGGTGTCATTCAATATTTTCTATACAGTGCTCTTTGTGTGTGTGTGTGTGTGCACTCATGCATGTCTGTGAGTGTGTGTGTCTGTACACCTGTGTGGGTACATGAAGGAATCCCATTCAAGGTGGACACTCAAGTACTGGGCAGAGTAGGTGTTGCTCAGAAGTTGTGTAGACAGATATGTGGGTCACAGACGCATACCTGGTGCCAGAGGGGATGCAGGTCAATAGGGGCTGGCCCAGGTGGGCCAAAGGGAGGTGCCAGAAGGTTGGCATGGGCAGGCAAACCCACCGGGAAACCTTGAGCTAAGTAGTGGTGCTTAGGCTAGAGCTTGACCCCGGAAGCAATGTTGTGGCCTGATTGGGGTTTTGAAGAACCTAAGGGCTGGCACCTTTAGGGGGGCCTCTTAGACCTGCCACTGAATTGCCATCTCACCTATCATTTGGACTCTGGCAGCCCCTGGAGGCAGGCATGGAGATGGTCATTCTCCTCCAGGTGATAAGGATGGTTCATCAGGGCCAACATGGGATCAACAGCAGCACATTCTTCTTCAAAGTCATCCTCCACACCTTCCATATACACTTCCACTGTCAGGCCCATTTGAGACCCAGCACCTGCTGGCTCAGGTGCTGCTGGGGCCTTGAGGAGATAGAACACAATGACCACCATGCCAAATGCCAACATCACAAACGTGGAAGCAGTAGATGGAACAGGGCTGCTGAGACCTAACATGAAGTTCATTATATCTTCATGAAATGGAAAGAATTGTGGAGTGTAGCCAAAATGTAAATAAATATAAATATAAATAATTTAAAATCATAAAAATTTCAAAGCTGCCAATATAATTGCCCCCCCCCTCAACAAAATAGATTAAATCTAAAGGAGTAGTTTCCAGATTCAGATGAGGATTCCTTCAGGACAAGTTTGCTCATGGCAGTTGGCAGTCTTAATTTTTCTCAAACTAATAATCCCGTTAGAATCCAGACCTCCTACTTTCCCATTATGGCCAGCTGGCTCAGTCTGTCAGATGCTGCCTCCTAAAGGTGAAGACCCCACATTTCTAATCTTCTACATTGTATTTTGAAACTCTGAAATCAGCTGGACTCCTCAGTGTTTTGGTTTTCTGAATGTGAAGCCCAAAAGTATTATGAGAATAATTATTCTTGGTTATAAGAATATTTAACCAAGAATGATATAGAGCCAAGAATTTTCCAGATAGGGCCCAATTTATAGTTTTACCAAAGAGACAAATTAATTCATCAATCATCAGAATGACAGTGATTTTTACAGTGTTGCTTAGGACATATGTGAGGTTTTTTAAATCTTTGGAATGTACAGCATGACACCTTTCCCAAGTGAGCTTTCTTTTCATGAGACAAGGTACCAGTCCAAAGGATTTTGCTGCAAACTATGTAAGTATGTAAGTAGAAACGTAAGTCTCAGTATAAAGTAATACCAGTATAAAGTAATACTAGTGAGCAAACCTTAATTTGGGAGCCTCAGTAAAACAAACAAATTAAAAAACATATCTTTTTAAAATGTATTGTTGAAGGGCATTAAAAGATTTTCTGTCAAAATTTTGGTTGCTTTACTTGTCTGTTTGAAGGAAAATCACAAAATTATTTTTATACCGATAATATGATTAATGAAAGAATATTTTAATTGAATTACCAGTGTAGTAAAGTAAAAGTTGTAACATTGTGTTTTTGTTTATTTATTTTGCAGTATGGCATGAAGCTGTACCAGAATTATATGCCTCCATATCAAGGCAGAAGTGGCTGCAGTTCTCAGAGTATATCACCCATAGTAAGGATCGATTTTTTGAACCTATATTTTATTTTATATTTATATTATGTTAATTTGCTATTACATTACAAATATATATTACAATATATTTACCATTTCCTTTTGGTCAAGTAAAGTTATACATTGTATGTATGATGTTATATTGAATTTTTTATACTTGGATAGCATATGTGTATGGTCTGTGATAAAAATCATAGGATATATATGAAATATTCAATTATAATACATAATGTTATATGTTAGTAAAATATTTTAAATATTTGAAGGAATGTATATTCTATGTCATTACATCATTTGAGGATTAGATTCTTAATAAGATAATTTGTAGAACATTTTCCTTGGCATTGTGTGTTTTTTAATTAATTTTCTTTGATTGTGGGTTTGCTTATTTATTTTAATACTGATTCTGAGATTGTTGTAGCCTATTATAGAGATGCCAATGATTTCAAATTTTAAAAACTGTAATATACGCATGTATATGTTTTTACTTTCTGGCTTTCTAACAGTAGTTTTTTTTTTAAGTTCCAGGTCCTTAAAAAGCAGACTGCTTTCCAGGAAATGCAAAAACTACAAGTCAAAATATAGGTCATGCATTACATTAACTATGCAGTGCTTCTCAGAATTTTACCAAATGTAACTTGGATATTTATTTGCAGACACACACAGGCACATCTTTTACCTTCTTTAGCACTTAATTTTAATTTCCTGTGCATTAACATAGAAATTTATTTCTGAACTTAAAGTTTATGTTCTGCAATTCTTGCTGCACTCCTTAATATTGAGTATATTAGAAATTCAGATGTATGTGCCTGTGTTACAGATCAGTTAATGCACTTTTCTGAAAACTGTGTTTCCACTTAGGCTAATCATGTGTTCTTCCTGACTGTGACCAAGGAAGGTACATTTACCCACATGTAATGCACCAGATGAAATGCTCAGTTCCAGGAATGTGGCATGAAATAATGTTGATTATGAAGCCCAATAGATGATATAGAAAAAGAGCCCCTATTTTGTAGTTATGTTGTTTTAAATTGTGGAAGAATAACTTTTCATCTTTGTATCATATTACTTTTAAGCCCTAAAATAAGAAACTAAGGAATGTAATGAATTTTTATAATAGAAATCACTTTAAGGTGAATGTTTTCTACAGTTTGTCAGCTTACTCTTATCTTTCAATCCATCTGTATATAAAAAAAATAGTGAATTTTATTATCTTAATCCTTTCCTAAATCCCTCCAAATTTTCTTTTAGAATCTAGAGTTATTAGCATGGATGTATTAATAGCAGCCAAACGTTTGGAAGCAATTATTATTTAGTGTCCTTTTAATCATAGGAAAAAATTGTTTTAAATAAAGTCCTTTCCATTTTCATTACTTTTGTTAGAATACAAGTGTGATATTATTCTTACTTGTTCCCACTGAAAGTCATTCTGCTGTTGATCACGGCATATCTGAGTTTGTTTAGCTGGTCTTTGCTTATTCAACCCCATCTGTAAAAAGAACTGCTCCTTGAGTGAATCTGACTGGAATCAGGTGTGATAGGGGCAAGAGGTCCCAATGCCTCATAGTAAGGGCTTGTTTTACACAGGAGTTGTGATCATAGAAGGTAGCACCTGAGAACCGTATCTATGCTATTCTTAATGTCTGTGAAGGAGACCTAGATGTTTGGGGAGGTATTTGTGTTTTCTTTTGTGTGTATGGAGAGACCCACTTTTCTAGGTGATTACAGAGGGATCAGTGACCTGAATGGTGCTGGTGCCTCTCACCTGTCTCTGCTGCTTTCTACTCAGGAACTGTTTTCAGTGAGTTACATAGAAAACTTAGAATAATTTAGTTACCTTTCTCAAGTAACAGTATTCTCTTTTAAACTTGTCCATGTTTTGAGAAGAGAAACAAAACAACAGTTCTCATACCAAAGGGAGCACCTAGCCATAACACCATGTGACAGCCACTCATATCAACTTTTGAAATGAGAATCATCAGCAGATATTTTAGGAAGCCAGATAGATTTGGTTCATTTTAGGGTAAAGGAGGAATTCATTTAAAGGAGTGTCTTTTAATATGTTCCTGGCTGGAGTGAGGAGATCGGGAGAAAATGTCTGCTCAGTTCTTTTTAGTCTTTACTTTTGACCCTGGGCTAGACATGCTAAGCTGCAGTTTCTTTCCTTTACCTCCCACTATGTGGTACTTGAAATAACCCTAGATCGGACATATTGGTTGCTATTTTTACCATAAGGTGTGTGATCTTGGTTGGATCTCTGGTGTCCTGCAGTGTAAAAGAAGGGGGTAGTTGCATAATCTCCTGACTCATCTGGGGTGTCCACTGTATGAAACAGATGAGAGAACGATGTCTGGAGGAATTCTTTGCCCTCTTGTTCAGTCATTCTGAGCTTCAGGTTTATCAAGATCCTTCAAATAGAGTGACAGAGAAAGCATGGCTAGTTGCCATGCAGTTATATTGCATAAAAACCATTTTACATGTAAACCTCACTAAAAGTGGATACAAGCAGTCTCAGAGTCTGGCCTGGGTAATCCAGGATACATGCAGGCTTCCCTTCTTAGAGAGAAAGGCTATGCAATTAAAATCCTGGCTGATTTTGCTAGGGCCTACCCTGTTCATCCCCTAAGAAGAGAAAAAGGAACAAATATTTGAGAAATACAGCCAGTTCTGAATTTTACCAGCATTGCTTTCCTGTGTGAAAGAAATTGAGCTGAAAATGACCTTTTGGGTTTGTCAGACTTTGCTTTACTTCCATTTCTTTGTCCACCAAAGGTAAACTATTATTTTTTCATCCACCACCTGCCATTCAGTAGACAACATTTACTACACTCCTATTTCCTCTTAGTGTAGTTATTGTAGCAAATGGAAAATTTCTTTAATTGTCTTATATTCTCTGTTTGCCAAATAATTATGGAACATGGGATCTTATTGTACATCTGGTCCCCTGTATTGGGAAGGGAGAGAACAACAGCTTGTTTATTTTTTTTTTTCTCACAGAATTTTTATGTTATCAGGTACTTCTCATTATAGAACCCATCTTGGCATGTGAAGTTAAAGATGTTATAAGAATAAATCTATCATTAGGATCCAGGTTTATTACTCTGATTTGGGCAGGTGGACACTTTCCATTAATGTTGGGAAAGCAAAAGTATATCCAACTGGTTCACAGCCCAGCACGGAAGATCATGGGGTGAGAAGGGCAAACTAAGGTGTGACAGCAAATAGAGATTACTGAGACAGTATCTGTCTGGAAAGAGCAGCTGTCAGTTATAAAGGCTCCTGTAACAAATGGAAGATTGCATGCCAGATCTCTAGAAATATAGATGGACCATAATAAAATTGTCGGCCATTATCACATGGTTTGAAGAGAAAATAACAGATGCTAATAAAATGGGATGTGTAAGGCAGTGATAAAGAAACCTAATTTTTTTTTTCTTGAGGATAAGGTTTTATTTGAAGCCCACATTTGACTATAGTATCTTTTCCAAATGTAGAGAGAGAGAGAGTGTGTGTGTGTGTGAAAGCCACAAGTCTCCAGATGCAGGTTGGCTCATAATTTACCAGTGTAATTTCACTTTAGGTTTTGTTCTTTCAGTAATTATTGAAGAATAAGTGATGCACACTTCCATTCAGTTTTTTTTTTTATTTTGCTTAGTTTTAAGTTATGTTCCTAGTGTATAAGACATGTGAGACTCTTGACTAGAGCGTTTGGCAATTTTCTCTTTTTTTAGTACTCACGACTCATTGTGGGATAGCATGCCTGTTTCTTGAAAGATGATTGCAAAATAGGATGCCAGAAAAAAGAAAATAAAAATAAGATCCAGGATTTGTATGTTTTACTTTTCCATTAGAGACTATGAATATAAGAAGTAATTAGCAAAAACACTGACTTTATCATTGTTTTGATTACATTTGTTTAAATATGTCTTCTTTTCATATCTGTGCTTCTGTCATTCAGAATTGTTTTTGCAGCTCTCACTTGGCCACCCATCTCTTCAAAAATGAAAAAGTGTTTATATATTACATCATAATTTAAAAAAAAAATTTAGTTGTTAACAGACCTTTATTTATTTGTATGTGGTGCTGAGAATCAAACCCAGTGCCTCACACAAGCCAGGCAAGTGTGCTACTGTTGAGCCATAGCCCCAGCCCCATCAAAAAAATTTTAGTATGAAATCTAATATCATGTATTATTATTCTGCTAATTTTCATTTTCCAAATAAAATGAAACTTGACATGATAAGCTTTCAAAACACATATTCCAATTTGCTCCTTTATAAAACATGAGTACTATTTCTAAGAAGATGTGTATCAATCTAAGTTACAGCTTTTACATATTTTGAATCATAAAATCGTGGCTTCAAAGTTGGTGGATTTGACATAAAGTTTAATACAGAGATGAGTTCAGAAGTGGTAGTTCTTTATAGCCAGTAGGAAGGGTTATTTCTTCCTCAGTTGGAGTTTTGCCATATTAGGAGATAATGTGAAAAAGAGGTTTGTTTTAGGGGAAAGACATGCTTTCAAAGATTTTCGTCACATTACTCAGCACTTAATTCAGTTATCCTAACAAATAGCCATTGAACTTATTTAGCAAAGTTCTCCATATCATCCTTTTATATTGAATATGTACTTTTAACTTTTTAATTTCCTGATAGCCACTTTGGGAATCCCAGTCTCAAATTGAAGCATATTGCCAGCAAAACAGTAAATGATTACTTTGGAAGATTTTCATGACTTGCAAGTGTTTTCTGGTTTTGTTTTGTTTTTCAAAATTTTTTTCCAGAGAAGTATATCTGAGAACTCCCTGGTAGCAATGGACTTCTCAGGTCAGAAAAGCAGAGTTATAGAAAATCCCACCAAAGCTCTTTCAGTTCCAGTTGAAGAAGGACTCACTTGGAGAATACTCATAATTTCACTTTCTTGAAAGAATTTTTAATTTGAGTTTGTTTCACCCCCATTCATTGCTCAGAGAAAAGGATGTTTGCACCTGGGCAGTCACAGTAGACCCACTGCCTCCTCACAGACCTCTGCCACAAACATGGGCATGTCTGCTCCTAGCCATGGTCACTGAGCTGATGGGCAGCTTGGCATGACTTTAGTGACATGTGGTCACTAAGTGATGGGGGACATATATGTAGTGAAATTGCATCACTGCAAGCAAACCTTTGTATTCATTCATTTTATTTCTTTAGCCATCCATCGGTCCCAGCCATGGTTTCACCACAAGATTTCCAGAGATGAAGCTCAGCGATTGATTATTCAGCAAGGACTTGTGGATGGGTAAATTTGATACTTTTAGTGTTGAGTAGAATTTGGGTTTGGATTTTGGATTTGGATTGGATTTTGCCAGTAAATAATAATAATTTATTTAGTGCACACCAAGTGTTTTTAATTTTGGCTTATCATAACACAGAAATGACTTTGTTCTGTAAGAGTGGCTATCACTGAATTCTAGCAATATCTGTATAATACCCAGTACACAGAGTGTGCTTAGTATTTGTGTATAAATTAACAGAGAAGAGAATAGTATTCTTTGTTCTTGACTAGGAGCACAAATGTTATCCATTCTGTGCCAATTCTAGCATTTTAGATATTAATTCATGAGAGGAAAAAAAAACTAAACTTGTTTTTGGGTATCAATGTTTCAATTTGAACAAGTAATTAATATGATTCTAAAACATGATTTACATTATGACATTATCCTATACATTGTAATTCTTTTTAGGTATAATGCAGGGTATATTAAGTAGAAATTTTTTTCTGATGTTTTCAATGTTTGCTTTTATTTCTGTTTACATCCCTATTGCCTTTTCTCTAAATATTAACAGCTTAAAAATATGAATCTATTAAAAGAGTACTTTTTGATGATTTTTGTGTTATCTTTTAATGGTATACCATGGAGTACACAAGAAAAGCATAAAATATTTTATGAGAGATTTATAATCTGAAGGATTTTCTTCTCACATTACTCAGTTTCAGGTATTTTAATACTGCTAAGTTCCTTCCCAAATGCAGTACAATGAGAACATTTTATTGAATATTGGATGAGAAATGAAACCGTTGTCAGTTTAAACAACTGAAGAAAGAATCTTTTATCTTCAAAAGTTGACTTAAGATGATGACAAGGGTTTGAGGAGATTTAAT